CATGTAAGAATCGTTATGTAAAAAAAATACTGTAATGACAAGGAACAAGTTTTTCACAAATATTATGCCAAAATTCATTAATATTTTATAAATTTTAATAGGTAATTTTAAATTTTTAATACCAATTTTCATTATATTTTATACTATTGTGTAAAGTTGTCATACAATATATTAATTTTAATACCTTCTATACTTAAATTTATTTTTTATTTTAGGTATTATAATTTTATATAATTATAATTTTTATATTTAACTTTTACGGCTGAAGGACTATGGTCAATAGCCTTTGAACTTGGTTTTAGTTCAATAAAGCATTATTATTATTTATTTAACTTTGGAAAAATTGTCCATATAATCATTGCTTTTTTACAGATATTTTTCCTGGTGGTTCTGCCTCACCCATAATTGCAGAAGATACCTACTTTCGTAAAATAACACTGAAAACTTACTGAAGAAAAATGAAAGTCAAAGTAAAGCAGTAAAGAAGTTTTTTAATTTATTAAAAAACTTCCAGAACAAGACAAATACATTCGGAAACATGGAAAAGAAAAAATCTGTTATATCTAGAGAACATGGACCAACTTACATTTCACAAAAAATAAGCAAATGTTGGATAAGATCTCAAAACAAGGATCGTAATGTAAAAAAATTACTGCAGGCTTATGTGCAAGGACCAGTTTGATGAAACAGGTAGAAAAGAAATTTTCCGTAAATATTATGCGATCAATATCAATGCTAAAACCACTCTGCTTTTTAAAATTTTCAAAATCTTTAAATTTTTTATAATTAAAAATTCTAAAAAAAATCAAAATTTCAAAATATTGTGTTGAAATTTTCAATATGAGATTTCATTTTACCGGATATGAAACACCCTGTATATCTTTTGTAACTTCAATATTTTATCATCATTCTATGAAAACATTTTTATATTGTCCATATAATCATTACTTTTTTACAGATAGTTTTCCTGATGATTCTCCCTTAAAATGGTTCTTCTGATGAATACTCTCCTCACAGCTCAGAAAACAACATCTAATAGTTAAAAAAGCCAGAACATAGAAAAAATTAACAATTTGAAAACAGCTACCCCCCCGAAGACAAAGAAGATAATAATTTGGAAAATTCTGCCCCACCCATAGCTTTAGAATCTTCTAGGTATCTAATTACTGGGATAAAATAACATTTAACAAATAGGTAAACAAATTCTGGGTAAAATCCCAGAACAAATATCGTTGTATTAAAAAAAATAGTGCAGGTATGTAAGTTTAATGAAACAGACAAAGAAGAAATTTTCCGCAAATATTACGCGCTCGACATCAATACTCTGACTTTTAAATCCATTAAAAAATATCGAAACAATATTTTAAAACCAAGTATCTGTTGTTATCAATATGGAGAAAGCAACAAAAATTAATTTTAATGAGAAAAATTACTTAAAAAAACTGTTTGAGAGACAGTGTCAAGTGGATAAAAGTTTATGAATATGTGATCTATTTATGTAATGTTTTCTCAAACAAAAAGATATAAAACCTAAAACATCAAACAGAATAATAAATGAGGAACACAAATATTTTTACCAAGAGGTAACAGGTTACAAGACAGTAAAGCAAAACAGTAATAGACAAAAAAAGTGAAGACATAGAAGATAATAATTTAGAAAATACTGCCCACCCATAGCTTCAGAATCTTCTAGGTATCTAATTTCTTAGATAAAATAACATTTAACAAATAGGTAAACAAATACTGGGTAAAATCCCAGAACAAAGATCGTTGTATTAAAAAAAATAGTGCAGGTACATTCATAACGACCAGTTTAATGAAACAGATAGAGAAGAAATTTTTCGCAAATATTACGACATCAAAACTGATTTTTAAATCCATTTTGTTACATCTGTCAACAAAACATCGAAGAAATATTTTAAAACCAAGTATCTGTTGTTATCAATATGGAGAAAGCAACAAAAATTAATTTCAATGAGAAAAAATACTTAAAAAAAGTTTGTTTGAGAGACAGTGTCAGGTGGATAATAATGAATATGTGATCTATTTATATAATGTTTTCTCAGCCAAAAAAATATAAAACCTAAAACATCAAACAGAATAATCGATGAGGAACACAAATATTTTTACAAAAAGGTAACGAGTTACAAGACAGTAAAGTAAAACAGTAATAGACAAAAAAGTGTTGCTGAAGACAAACTGATTTTGTGAATATTCAAACACCTATTGACACAATTTTATGCTTTTGAAATTTGGTTTTTTTCAGAAATTGTAAGACCATTTTAATTTATAATATGTTTGTGTACTTATGTAAGTACTTTAAAATGATTTTTTTGAACACTTTTTTTGTGTTTTTGAAATTTTAATTATTTGTTTAATTGATAAAATGTATGTAAAATTTTGTTTTTTTTTCAAAAATTATGAGATTATTTTCATTTATAATACGTAGAAAAAGTTTAGTACTATAATGTTTATACCAATACTATTATACTATAATGTTTATACAAAAAATAATTTTTATAAGTGAATTTTTACATACCTACTTTAACATAGATACTTTATCAATTTTATGTTTTTGAAATTTTAGTTATTTATTCAGTTGATAAATGTATGTTAAAATTGTGACATTATCTTTATTTATAATGTGTAAGAAAAGTTTAATACTAATATATATATACCAAAAAATGTTTTTTTAAGAGAATTTGTACACACTTACTACAACAGATATTTTATCAATTTTATGGTTTTGAAGTTTAATTAATTTATTTGAATTTGGTTTTTTTTCAAAACTGTAAAATTATTTTTATTTATATATATTATGTAGAAAAAGTTTATATATATATAAGTATATTATACTTAAAAAAATCATTTTATAGACTGTCCAAATAAAAAGTATCAGACAAAAAACTTTGAACTGAACTATCTCAAAGTTTTTTGATTTTACGTAGACCCTTCTTTCATTATATTTCTTAATAAGCGTTCTTTGTCAATAAACACCACGGAGGTTTTTAGTCGGTAGGCGGACCTTTAGAAAGGGATCGAATCCGACACTACCCAGTTTAACATACTGGGTGTCTTTTGAAGATTTTCCTCCTTAAAAAAAAAAAAAAAACTCATGTCAGGTATCATTAGTTAAATTTTTTTTTTAATTAAGGAAAAAAACCTGTTCTTTTACTTTCCATCAAAAAAATATTACCTATATGTCTCTTTATTTTTAAAATAAAGAATGTTATAAAACTATTAGAACCATTTTCAAAAAATGTGCAAACTAGGAATTCTAAAAATTACAGAATAGAGGCGCGCAGCGCCGATTTCTATATTATAATATTTTTTTTATTTTAACCGTAATTATTTTAAGACAATTTCTTTTTATAAATTTATTTTTTTTTAATTATCAATTTTTTAACTAAAAAATTGACACTTCTTTTTGGAAATTCCATATTTGAGGCAAAAACTTTACTTTAGCAAGATAAATGTTTAAAACATTAAAAATACGCAAATACATGCGCGACAGCGCAAATATACGTGCAATAGCAGAAATATACGCGCGACAGCGCAAATGTACGCGCGCGAGCCTAAATAAACAGAAACTTGTGTGTTCTTTTATAATTTAAACGTAAATTATTTGTCTGTTTCCAAAGTGTCCTCGGTAAATATTTTTTTATTTTTTTAACAATTATACCTTCATTCCTGTGTCTTTAAAAATTACCTCTAAAATATTATCCAAACTTTGTTTTAGAACCATTTTCAAAAAATGTGCAAACTCGCAATTGTAACAAATGGCAGAATAGAGGCGCGCAGCGCCGATTTTTATATTATATATCTTTTATTTTGACCATAACTATTTTAAGACTTTTTTTTAATTAAAATTTTTTGAGATAAGATTTTTTTGTAATAAAAAAATTGACGCTTTTTTAAGAATTCTTTATTTGAGGAAGAAAACTTTAGTTTACCAAGATAAATATACATAACATCTAAAATGCACAAATTAATGCGCGACAGCGCAAATATACACACGCGAACCCGAATATAAATAATATTATCTGTTCTTTTCTAATTTAAATGTATTAACAGAAGGCATTTTTATGACAACTTATTTTGTTTAAAAAAACAAATCATCTTTATTTGTTTTTAGGATATCTTTTTTTTTTAATTAAAACATTGAAGCTTTTTTAAAAATTCTTATTTGAAACCAAAAACTTTACTTTAGCAAGATAAATGTATATAATATTTAAACGGCGCAAATACATGCGCGACAGCGCAAATATACGCGCGATAGCGCAAATGTACGCGCGCGAGCCCGAATACAAATAATATTGTCTGTTATTTTTTAATTTAAATGTACCTATATGACATAAACAGAATATTGTTTTTGAAAAGAAAACAATTCCATCTTTATTTATTTTTAAGATATGATTTTTTTGATTAAAAAATTGACGCTTTTTTGAGGCAAAAAACTTTATTTTAGCAAGATAAATATATATGACGTTTACAAGACGCAAATACATGCGCGATAGCGCAAATACACGCGCGATAGCGCAAATGTACGCGCGCGAGCCCGAATACACAGAATATTGTTTGGGTTTTTCTAATTTAAATGTATTATATATTCATTAGTTGAAAACACCAAAGCCCAGCGTAATTAATTTTTACGATATGATTGTTTTAAACGTATCCTATATTGTACTATAATAAACAGTCACTATCGGCGGACAAACCTATACTGGACTCCACGACTCTATTGTCAGTTTACTGGCAACCCCCGGCGCTAGAGCTAAACTAGTTAGTCGTGGAGTCAAAGACTCCATGACTTATAGAAGCGGAGGAATTTTTGAAAATGCGACTTCCCGGGCAGTTAGATATACCTTTATATATATGGATCGATTCAGAATCGAATTCTGAACAACTTTCATTTTTTCTGTTGTCTGTGTGTCTGGATGTCTGGATGTCTGTGTGTCTGTGTATCTGTCATCAAACTTTAAAAAATTCATAACTCGAAAATGGTAAACGGTGGAAACTTGAAATTAAGACCCTTTTTTAATCCCCACGAGACGCACCTCTCATCCAAATTTCATCTGCGCAAGATAGGTCTAAGTGCACTTTTTATCGATTTTTTTGACGAAATTTTGGAGTTTACGCATGAAGCTTTCCAGGTCGAAGGGGTCGTCGTGGAAAAACCAAATTTGGTGAAAAGGTGTACGAAGACTATCTATTAAAGTGTTTAGTATATGGGCTTTTCAGGCCTGCAACTTTCGAAAAAAAAATTTTTTTTCGACTTTTTCAGGAATTTTTTGAAAATTTTTTTCTCGAAAACTAAGAAGACTTTAAGTAAACGAAAAACGCGAATAGATGTGCAAAGGATTGTTATTTAACATACTAAAAAATAAAAATCATTGAAACAAACTAACATGGCCTACTGCTCAATTTATTTTTGTTGCTATTTTAAAAAAATGCGGACAATTTTTAATTAATTTTTTTTTACTGTTTGTAAACTCATTATTTTAATTTTCACCCTACGTTAAGGTAAACTATGGCCTTGTAGACCAATTTGCCAAAAAAAATTATTAAAATTTTTTCCTCTTCTTCTTCTACGATTTATTTTACAAAATCATTAATATCTCTTGACCTATAATAGATGGCGACTTAAAATTTGGCAACAATGTATGGGCTCATGGTGCAAATGTCCCCTTAAAAAACTATCAAAATCAAAAAATGATTTAGACATTTTTTTTAAAAATTCGTCAATTTCTTTTAAATTTTTTTGAAAATTCCCTTTTTCATGCAGACAATTTAATTTTAGTAAGACAATGTATATGACATTAAAAAAACATATTTTTATGACAAATCGTTTGGTGAAAGCAGCATAGGTGTATCTTTATTGGTTTTCGAGATATGATTTTTTTTAATTCAAAAGTTGTCGGTTTTTTATTTAATTTTCAGTTTTTCGGTAGAAATCTCTATTTTAGCAAGATCATGTATAGGACATTAAAAAAAGACATTTTTTTGGCAAATCTTTTGGTGAAAACCGCGTAAGTTTATCTTTGTTAGTTTTCGAGATATGATTTTTTTAAATTGAAAATTTAAGAAACGTCAAAATCTGACGTTTCTTCAATGTACATTTTTACATCCATAACTCGCTTAATCTAAGGCCGAGAAAAAATTCCTTCACTAAATTTGTGTAAAATAACTTCCTCTGGAAGACCAAAAAGAAAAAAATCAAAAATTTTGAAAATTACGGAAAATTATTTTTTTAGGCATTTTTTCCAAATGAAATACCCGTTTTTATGCGTTTTTGGGTATAACTCGGTCAATTTTGGCCCAATCTGGCTGAAATTTTAAACATTTGCTCACACACGGACACTAGTGAGGCCGGTAATGTAAAACCGGAAGATTTGAGCTGTTCTAAAAAACGTCAGATTTGACGTATTCACATTTTCTCGCGATTAGCGATACTATAAAAAAATTAAATCATTTATATAACGCAAACACACGCGCGACAGCGCAAATTTATGCGCGATAGCGCAAATGTTCGCGCGCGTGCCCGTATTCAAAAAGTTTAAAATAAGACATTCAAACAAAAAATATTCGGCTATTTCCGGAAAGTCCTTGCACACAAAGTTTATACCCACATATGCGCGATAGCGCAAATACAGGCGCGATAGCGCAAATGTACGCGCGCGAGCCCGAATATAAATAATATTGTCTGTTATTTTTTAATTTAAATATATATGCATATGACATAAACAGAAAATTGTTTTGTGAAAAGAAAACAATTCCATCTTTATATTATATTTTTAAGATATGATTTTTTTGATTAAAAAATTAACGCTTTTTTTGACGCAGAAAACTTTACTTTATCAAGATAAATATATAAGACGTTTACAAGACGCAAATACATGCGCGACAGCGAAAATACCCGCGCGATAATGCAAATATTTGCGCGACAGCGCAAATACCCCCGCGATAGCGTAAATACCTGCGCGATAGCGCATATAACCGCGCGATAGCGCAAGTACCCGCGCGAAAGCGCAAATACCTGCGCGACAGCGCATATACCCGCGCGATTGCGCAAATATATGCGCGATAGCGCAAATGTACGCGCGCGAGCCCAAATAAAAATAATATTGTCTGTTATTTTTTAATTTAAATATATATGCATATGACATAAACAGAAAATTATTTTGTGAAAAAAAAACAATTCCATCTTTATATATTTTTAAGATATGATTTTTTTGATTAAAAAATTAACGCTTTTTTGACGCAGAAAACTTTACTTTATCAAGATAAATATATAAGACGTTTACAAGACGCAAATACATGCGCGACAGCGAAAATACCCGCGCGATAGCGCAAATACCTGCGCGATAGCGCATATAACCGCGCGATAGCTCAAGTTTCCGCGCGAAAGCGCAAATACCTGCGCGACAGCGCATATACCCGGGCGATTACGCAAATATATGCGCGATAGCGCAAATGTACGCGCGCGAGCCCGAATACAAATAAAATTATCTGTTATTTTTTAATTTAAATGTATATGAAATAAACAGAAAATTGTTTTGTGAAAAGAAAACAATTCCATCTTTATTTATTTTAAAGATATGATTAATTTAATTAAAAAATTGACACTTTTTGAGGCAGAAAACTTTACTTTATCAAGATAAATATATATGACGTTTACAAGACGCAAAAACATGCGCGACAGCGAAAATACCCGCGCGATAGCGCAAATACCTGCGCGACAGCGCATATAACCGCGCGACAGCGCAGGTACACGCACGACAGCGCAGGTACACGCGCGACAGCGCAGGTACACGCGCGACAGCGCAAATGTACACATGAACTTTTGTGATCTTTTATGATATAAATATAAACTTCAAACAAATTATTTGGCTGTTAAAGTGTCTTCGTAAATTTTTTTTTTTATATTTTATTGTATCATTATAACTTATTATCTGGGTATTCAAAAATTAATATTAAAATAATGTCCAAACATTGTTTTAGAACCATTTTTAAAAAATGTGCAAACTCGCAATTGTAAAAATAGCAGAATAGAGGCTCGCAGCGCCGATTCCTGTATTATAATACATTTTTTATTTTGACCATTCTTATTTTAAGACAATTTCTTTGGTTAATTGTTTTTTTAAAAATTAACGATTTTTTTATTTCTCTATTTAAAGCAGAAAATGTTATTTTCGCAGGAAAATGAATATGCCATTAAAATAAAAATATTTAGCAATATAATGGTATATAACATTAAAAAAATATATCTTTATAACATATCAACAAATAATTAATAATCGTGATAAGCCAGATTTATACAAATTTAACAATATTTAATTCTTGTAGGTACAACTTTTTTATGAAAACTTGTACATTTTAGCAATATGTAACTATATATAGGTATATATTATTAAATTACTTGATTATTCAATAACTCTAGATTAAGTTATATTATTTATAAAGCCATTTATTTTTGGTAAAACAAGCTTTTTTAAAAATAAATGTTGAGAAACTTGGCAGCGTTGTCCAATTTTATTTTAAAGCATAACTATTTTAACAATAGAACCATAGAACAAACCACCTTTTTTCTGTACAAATTCCATAGAAAAAATTTGCTTTTTAATATTGTATTACAGGCTTAATAGAATAAAAAGGAAATATACCAAATTATAAATTAAACACAATAATTTATTTAAATTAATTTTTAATAATAAAATTAATTGACATTTTTAATAAAAATCTCTAATATTGTCAAGTTACTGCAAAAATAAGAAACTTAATTTTTTAACTCATAATTGTTTCTGCAAGGACAACTCAACTACATATATAACCAATTTGGTTAATCCGATGTTGAGTGCAAAAAAATGTTATAACCCCATTTTTAGTAAATACACCCAAAGAAAAGTTACAAACTCAAATTACTAAAAACACTGTTTTGGGAGTTACCTATATGGTTTTTGCAGTAACCCTACGATATATAATATCTATCTTTGATGTAAAATAATTTTCCAGCTCGAACAGTACTTTTTCATAATTTTCTCTCTATATTATTTAGTTTTTTAAGCATATTATACACTTTAGTAGGTACCTTCTTTAACAATGTTATGTAAAATCGCAACTTTGACCATATAGTATGATCCATACTCAGATCCATATCAGGTTTATCATTGCCCACAACCATATATTTCAAATGTTTGTTTACATTTTTTAAACCTCTAAAAAACTTTTGCTTCCACTATTAAATTAGCTTGTAGTCTTGTCTCTATATTTAGAATTGTCTTATCTACGTGTAAATAGTTTAAATTTACTTTTCAAGCACGTATTTAACTTCACTTTAACTTCTTTTAGATTTCTCCAGTCTAAATTTACTGATAATTGTTATTTACTGTTCATTATTCTTCTTTTTCAAAACACAATGTTTTTTATATTTTATGACGTTTAAATAAAGAATTGTTACACATTAAATAATATTTTAATGTAACTCAAACATGATGTAAATCATAGAAAAGAAATTTAAGCAAATATAACCTTAAATTTTTGACACATCCATTGTTACCACACATATAAGTCTAATTTAACTAAATTTAAAAACATCAGTTTAATTTAAAATTCAAGCAATCTTTCTTGTAATATTCATTTGTAATACGTCTTTTTAACATTTCGTGAAAAATATGTTTAATTTAAAATTAAAAAAAATTTAAATAGCTGTTTTTTGGAAATGACATTGTTGTCTCTGGTTTATAACGTCAATAAGTGATCCAAGCAGGCCTTCTAAATTTTTCAAGTAAGTATCGCTATGCATTTGTTATATGTCGCTATGACAACCAATGTTTGTTTATAACTAAGCGTCTGTTGTATGCTTATTATACATTGGGAATTATCAAAGTGTATATAATTTGTGTGAGTAACCTAATTAATTCTTTCGTATTTTTTAGTGTGAATTGTTTTTTTGAAAACAAACAAAGAAATATATACCTGCTCAACATGCCCAAAGTAAAGAGACAGTCTTTAGAAACCAAAAGAAAGCTTGCCAAGTTACAAAGAGCAAAAAAATTAGAGGACATTGTATCGAGTGAACTGGTCATTGATAAAACTGAGGAAAAACGGTTAAAAAATCGCATGGCAAAAAGAAAATCAAGGGAAAACCTTGAAAAAAGACAAGCTGAAAGGGAAATTGACAAGGTGAGTTTGTTTTTTATATTGATTTGATCTTCACCGATGCTATGCTATCTTCACTAGAGGTATACTATTATTGTCTTCAAACAATTAAATTTAAATGTTTATACATTATTATACCCTTAATGTAAAGGAATGTAATTTTTTTAAATATAAAATTATAGATTACCAAACCTATACCATAATTTACAAACCATATAAGTAGGTATTGCTTTGTTGAAAAAACTGACATAGGTATAAAAAAAAAATTGACAAAGTGATTTTTTTTTTATTATTGATTAGGTACTCACTGATACTATACTATCTCCACTTAGGTAGGTAGGTACACATGTGTAAACTAAGCTATTATTTTCCTTCGTATAATCAAATTTAACCTAATGTAAAGGCAGTGTAATTTTTTGTAATATAAAATAATAAATTACAAAACCTATAGCATAATTTACAAACCATAGATGCATATATGGCTTTATTAAAAAAAAATACAAATCTAAAAATGACAAAATTTTAAATTGAGCTGTTTTAAAATTGTTAATTAAAACAAACAATAGGTATATAAGATGGCTTTTCTTTTATATTCAGTAAGAAGAATGTTTATTTTTACAAATTTTCTTATATAAAGATCTTTGTATTATGTATAAAGCCAACAAGCATATAACAAGGTCAAAAAATGTAATTTATAAAAAAGAATTTAATTTTAGAGTTGTATGTATAGGCGTGTTATTATTCCACATTATAAACGCGTACGGCAGCTTTTGGATTAAAGCAGTGGAGAGCAGGGTTTAAGTTAAGTGGGTTCTTAAAAACATAAATAAATCGTGACGTGTCTATATCAAAAAAAGGAAATACAAAATACAAACCAAAAGATAAAGATTCTTGTAATCTTGTAAATGCACAGTAGCTTACCTTGTGGGCGCCAAATGACCTTTTGTAGGAAACTGCAAAATTAGACCGGTCATTTAATCTAACTTAGTTTACGCTGAAAGTTGTTTGAAGGTATGTAAACTTAAAGAGGAGATACTATAATAAAATGTATAATTTAAGAAATCTAATCTTAAACACACCAGTCAGAACTATTAAATTGTTGTAAAGTATTGGTGTATAAACCACGTAAAACCAAACAAGTCTACCTTTGATACGTATCGTCGGTTCACATTAAGATAAAAATAAGTCGGCTTTTAAACCGCAACAAAAATAATAAAGTCAGCTTTTAAGCCGCAACAAAAATAATAAAGTCAGCTTTTAAGCCGCAACAAAAATAATAGTGACAGTTCAATATTTAAAAGTTAATAATAGTATACTCAAATTTACATCCTCCAGTGAGCGGGTGGTTGTTCTTGCTCCGGCTGGTGGCTTCTGTGAAGACAAACAGCGGTGTGGTTTTCCGGTGGGTTGTAGGTCGTCAAATCAGGGAGGTGGCGTCAGGCCGAGTCAAAGACATGTACATGAGACAATGTTGTCAGACAAAGTAAAACTGACCATAAGGTTAAATTTCAACGCAAGGTAAAATTTACCACAAGGTAAAAATCATCATAAGATAAAAGTTATCATAAGATAAAAGCCCTAAAAAGGAGAACAAAAATTGGAAAAAACCCAATCAACGCTAATTGTACTTACAGATTAATTTATCTGGCTTTAGGTAAACGTCATTCCTACCATCTTGCAGGAGAGGGAAAACTTTCAAGGTCAAGCACACACTTTATAATACGTGCAAGTCAAATCCGGGAAATATCGTCAAAATCGGTAAAATACTACATCCAGATTATTTACATGTCGATCCGAGCCTGATATAAATTAGAAAATTCTAGGATTAGGGACCGATGGTCCGAATAAACATCGATTAACTCACCAAGTTGAGGTTATGGCGGAGCACGCTACAGCGTTTTTCTCAGTAATTCAAACGTCGACAAGACCCCAGATACTACGCAATCATCGAGCTCTTCGGTGTCTCTTCTGGACCCTTTCGCCACGATTTAACTGGATTTAACACTTGAAAAACTTTTAACACTCAACTTGAGTCAAATCGACATGTTGCTGGTCTGGCGGTCAAACAGAAAAGAACTCTTAGAAGAACTTAAATTCCTATTGGACTTTCACGCGCATGCGCCACCAATCCCACGAGGAAACTTTTAAAAATGAAATTTGAAATAAAATGAAATTTGAAATAAAATGAAATTTGAAAAAGGTACATATTAAAATTTAAATAAGCTAGATCTGAAACCATTATATATGAAGGAAAACAAAGAAATATATTTAATTTAAAACACTGAATAAAAAAGGTAGGCAACCTGGTTACCGACCGGTTTTGACATTTCAAAAGTAAACAAATGTTCTACATGGCATATTTAAAAGAAAATTTGAGACATTGGCAAGATAGAATAAGTGCCTCTAACGCTCAAACAGATACAAACTCTAACGGGTAATTTAAAGGTAAAGTTGATAACCACATAGATACATTTGTTCGTTTTAAGGTTAAACTATGGAATTTACTGGCAAACTAAAGTTATAAAGAAATCTAGGAACAAAAATGGGCTCGACGCTGCTTGTCTTCACTGAAGTAACATCCGGCCGGGCTGTAAACAAAAGTTAAACAAACATAGGTCTCCCAAGCTACAGTACGGTGGAGCATTTGAAAACACAATCGTAGCATTTATAACTGTAAGTGATTAATGTTTAATCGTTGCAGACTTAACTGAACGTCAAACATAATAAGTACAGCCCTAAATAAACGTGTTTCCTTACTATAAATCTTTATTTTAGATAAAACTACACCAAAGCATTGTTGTTCTAAGGTTGAAATTATCACGGGTTGTTCCTAGGTAAAACTGTTTAAATGAAATATTACATGAAACTAATATAAAAATACGACTAAAAATGGTTTACTTAATTAAAAACACGTAGCATAAAATGTGCATGCTACACCACATAATTAGGTATGTGGCTTGTTAACAAGCCAAGAATATGGATATGCAATGAATATTCTATAGATATCAAATGTATATTTATATCCATTGTATACAGGGTGTCCCAGAACTCACGCCACAGAGAAAAAGGGGGCGTGCCGATAGCAATGGAGATGCCAAATTTAAAAATAAAAAATTTCTAGGTAATAGTGTAATCGAATGAGAGCAAAAAAGCGGCAGCCAATACCGAGAGCTCTCGCCTAGGTTAAACGTAAGAGCTTTAAAAATTGCTAGGAGACGATAGAACATTGTTGTATTAAAAACATTTAAAATTCTTTTGGCCAACTGTATTTACTAAGTTGTCAAAAGCTTTCAAAAATGAGGTTATTAATCTATGACTTATACTTCAGAACGCCAATGTTTTAAAATAACGATTATAATCCTATAGGAAAGGGCTGGGAAAAAACTCGCGTTGTCTCCCTGGCGTTGCGCCCACACTAAATAAATAAATAATTATCATTTCAGTATAATCATCTAAGGAAAACATTATTTATAATAACTTAATTTATAACCTAATATAATATTAATGACAGGAGTTTGACAGCAGTGTCACAATGAATTGGATTCCAGTGGACCAAATATTTTACATATTTTTTATTATCAACAATGCAACCTAAGTATCCTAGCAATTTAAAGAATTCCCTATGGACATCTATTGGGATTGGCTATCGTTTTTTATTCTTATCTCGCTTATCCTTTGCGTTAGACAATTTTAATTTTCAAATATGTGTTTCACGTTACTTTCGGCACGTACCGGTTTTCTATGTGGCGCGAGTTCTGGGACACCCTGTATACGACTTGTTGGAGCAGAGACCAGACCAGACCAGACCGATTTAAAAAATATATATATAAAATTTTTAAAACAAACATTTTTAGTTATGTATTAGTTAAAATACCATTAAAATTAAAATTAAAACAAACATTTTTAGTTATGTATTAGTTAAAATACCATTAAAATTAAAATCTTGTATAAAGCCCTTTCCGAGAAATTTTATAAAATGGAATTTTATAAGTGATAACCCTCAAATTTATTATGTTTCAATCTTATATTTAGGCTCAGAAATTTTAGGAAAAATACCTTTTATTGATATAATTTAAAAAGAGTAAAAACAACCCCTCAGTGGCGAAGAAAAGGGAAATAGTTTAAAGAAAAACACATTTTGCTACAAATCATACACAAAAATTACAATAAATCTTTAAATTAATTAAATATGTTGGCTATTAAATTTAGAAACACATCTACAGGGTGTCCGGGAAAAGGAAGTCAATCCGTTAATCATATATTCTTTGAGTTAAAACAATAAGACTTTCATAATACCATTTTTCAATTTAGAGCTTCATGTTCGATATACAGGGCGACAAAGTTTGAAACTTAAAACTAATTTTTTTTAATAATTCGAGTAATTGATAAGATATTAAGTTCAAATTCGGTACACTACTTTAACATAAATAGTTACATTTTTTGAGACCAACAAAACAAAAAACAATTGTCAAATAATCAAAATAGGGGGGGGTCCAGTACACGAGGTAAATAAATAATTATCCACTTGCAAAAGTTACCTTCCTTTTTATCCGTTATCAAAGTGACTTAAATGCCATTCAACTACGACGTTTTCATGTAAGAAACAAATTATCTCTAAAACAAATCATTTTATCAAAATTTTATAGGAGACAAAAAATTTTCAACAATAAATACCTGAAGAAATACCGTTTGGAAGTCATTGGCGCACGTACTAAAAAATAGGGGGAGTCAGTGAGTACTGGACCCCCCTATACTTTGATTATTTGACAATTGTTTTTTGTTTTGTTAATCTCAGAAAATGTAACTATTTATGTTGAAGTAGTGTACCGAATTTAAACTTAATATCTTATCAATTACTTGAATTATTAAAAAAAATCAGTTTTAAATTTCAAACTTTGTCGCCCTGTATATCGAACATGAAGCTCTTAATTGAAAAATGGTATTATGAAAGTCTCATTGTTTTAACTCAAAGAATATATGGTTAACGGATTGACCTCATTTTCCCGGACACCCTGTATATAACATATATTTATAATTAGGGTTTTTTTGATTAAATTAAACCTTGTCGAAAAGGTACTAAAAGCATGATGTTAAACAGTTTGTTCAGAATAAAAACCAAGGACCAATTTACTTTTTTTGATAAATTCAGGCATATGATGAATTACTATTTCATCTAAATTATATTTAAAATTAAAAAAAAATCGTTCCAATTATCTGCAAGCATTTTTCCAAAATAGTTTTTAACCACTTCATTGAAACTTAGGAATAGTGGAACATAAATCTTTTTGAAAACAATTGTTAACAAAGCTGCAGCTATGGCAGCTTGACAGAAACCAAATCAAAAATCCATAACCTATTTAGCTTAAATGTAGGATCTAAATGAATTTAACACAATTATTATTGACATTGACATATCAATTTAAGGAAAAAATAAATTTTATCTCATTTTTCGAAAATGAGATAAAATTTATTTTAAATAAAAAAATATTTAAAATGGTATAAAACCTGTAATAATTGGATTTTTTAAATAAAATTTTAAATTTGTAGACAAATTATAGTAGATAATAAATTGCAGCACTTTAATTTGAATAATCTCAAATAGGGGGCCTGGAGGCGGGAGAGACACCAGGAAAAACTAATTTTTTTTCGCAAACTTCAATTTAAATTCTGTTTGCTTCAAACTTATTTATTTAATCTCATTATAAACTGTTATAAATTTGGTGTGGGTCCCTTGTCTAATAACTGAGATATTGGTATACATAAAATCCACCAGCCGCCACTGATCTTGACATATTTTGAACAGTTTGAAATATTTTATAAAACAAAATTTTTAAAATCTTTTTATTTATCATTTTGCTCCAAAACAAAAAATAAAGGTAGTTTACTCTTGATAGCTATACTAGTATTTCATGTTTTCTTGTTTTTCGACCCCCCTGTATAATATTTTCAAATTTAAAGTATGGCAATATTCTTTTTAAATCAAGCAGAACTTTTTATGAAAAATGAGTTTTGGTCAAAAAATAAAATTTTTAGTCCATTTGTCCTCTTGGGACCTCTATCCTTGGTCATATTGTATACATGATGTATTTTTTATATATGAAAACCTTAACCTTTACATTTTTTTTATCTCAGGTGTGCTTAAAATAAACTTAAAATACTAAATTTTGACACCTGCAGTACAGTAAGTAAACAAATGCAAATTTTCTATTATGGACCAAATAATAAAGTTAACAAAAATTATCTTGATCATATTGAATTTTAATAAGTACCTTAAAAAGTTAAAATTGTTAAAAATGTAGTTATTAAATTTATAAAAAAAACCTAAACTTTGTATATTACTAGAGTAAATTTTTTATGATTTTTTATGTTATTTCAACTAACGTTTAAAGATCAACATTAATCAATATTAATACAGGATGGCCTGAAAATGACGGACTAATGCCATATCACGTGATAATTACTTTTTGATTTAGGTATTTAATAGGCATTTATGTTTTAAAAAAATTTATAAAAAATGATTATGATAAGTTTTAATTATAAAATGTATAAATTATTACATATTAAGTGACGGTCATTTCTGAAGAGTGTACATTTTTCTGCACGTGCGAAGCATGAATGTGAATGTAACAAATGTAAATATCCAAAAGTACATTACATATCGATTGACGAAAGGCGGCGATTTCTAAAGAGCCGCTTCGCACGTGCACTCGTGAATTAGCTAATTAATGCATACATTTACTCAAATGTATACTGTGATTAAATATTAACTATTTCTAATTCTAATAATTGTTTGAATTTTTTAATAATTTTTTAAAATCTATCTTTAGATTTCCAAACGAAAAGTAAGGGAAAATACACAAACCCTAAAAAAAATTAACATCCAAAACAAAAAAGCAATGTCCAAAAAAAGGGAAAACAAAGATTTACGTGATTTTGAAAAAGAGTCTGACAAAAGAATTAAAAAACAAGTCCGAAAAAACGAAATCGTAAAAAAAGAACATAACCAACTTAACAAAGAATGCATGTCGTCAAAAAGGCAAGATGAAAATTTTCGCGAAAATGAAAAAGAAGCGGACAAAACAGCTAAAAAACAAGTCCGACAAAGCGAAACTGTCAAGCAAAAACATAACCAGCTTCACAAAGAATACTTATCCAAAAAAAGGCAAGAGAAAAGCTTTCGCGAAAGTGAAAAAGAAACGGACAAAACAGCTAAAAAACAAGTCCGACAAAACGAAACTGTCAAGCAGGAACATAACCAGCTTCACAAAGAATACTTGTCCAAAAAAAGACAAGATGAAAGTTTTCGCGAATGTGAAAAGGAAACGGACAAAACAACTAAAAAAGAAGTCCGACAAATCGAAACTGTTAAGAAGGAACATAACCGACTTAACAAGGAAAGCATGTCCAAAAAAAGACAAGACAAAGAATTCAGAGAAATGGAAAAAGAAAGGGATAAAGTAAGTAACATTACTTTCAATAAACCTAGACAAATTTATAATTTGCCCTTATTTTCCAGATTAATAAATCCCAGCAAAGGTTTTCTAATCCATCTCTTCTCGAAGTGGAGGCTGAAAGAATTTCGCAAAAACGCCAAAGCGAAAGTTACAGAGAAAAGGAGCGAGCACACGATAAAGAAGCCAAGAGGCGCAAAAAAGTCGTCGAGTCAACTGGAAGTCAAGCACCGGCACCCATGCACTTCCCGCCCCGAAATGTGGCCAAAAATTCTGTGGAATACTTTCGCCACATGATTAAAGAAGGTCCCACGGGAGTATGCACATCGTGTCTACGGCTCTGCTTCCCCAGATTAATGTCGAAAACTCCAAAACTGGACAAGGTACGAACAGAACGTCCCGAATTGTACGAGAAAATTTTCAACTATCCAGATTCGAACCAGTTTTGCAAAACTTGCCTAGATTACCTTCGCAAAGACGAACACTCCAATTATTGCGCGAGCGAATGCAAAATTATTTTCGACTTGCCCGAAAGATTTAGAGATCTGTCCACATTGGAGGAACGACTGGTGGCCCTTAGAATCCCGTTCATGCAGATACGGGCTTTCGGTCGCGAAAAGCAGTGCTCCATAAAGGGAAGCATTGTAAACGTGCCGCTCGACACGTCATCCGTGGTATCAGTCTTGCCACGCAACCTGGACGATACACAAACCATTCAGGTTAAGCTAAAAAGGAGACAGGCGCACGATAGCCACTACATCCTGGAGACAGTCCGACCAGCTATAATACTGGGTGCACTGGAATTCCTTAAAACGCAGCCGTTGTACGCCAACGTCAACATAAACCCAGATTGGGTAGATGGACTCGAAAGAGACGCAGTTGGCAACGTACAAATCGAACACAACGATAACGTCGACGACGATTTCGATAAAACTTTCAGTACGATCTCTCAATTGTCGGACGTGTTGGAAAAAGTTTCGATTCTGGAAAAACAGGCTGCGGAAATACCGCCACCCCAGCAACCGACCAAACACACAGTGGAGTCCGAATTCGATCGTGAGGATGAAAACGAACTCATTAATCCAGGCGGCGAAGAAACGTTACTGGACGAGCGTGACCCACTGGCAAACATTGTTATGGCACCCGGGGAAAACCAAATTCCCAAGCACATAATGCTTGACGAATATGCCGAGGAAATGTCCTTTCCGACCATTTTTGCTGGAAACAAAAAAGCATTCAACAAAAAAATGCTCTACCACAACCAAGCAAAACTGCAATCGGCATATGTAGATCGCCGGTTCGCACGGCCCGATTTCTTGCTCTTCATGTTCAAGAAAAAACAACTGCTTGCCACCAACACTGCCATCCAATTGGCCATAAGAAAACTGGATGACAGAACCAGCAGAAAACACACGGTGGCCGACGTGATGAACATCGACTACCTAAAGCAGCTGATCAAGCAAGATCAAGGATTTGGGTTTATGAGTTCCATCAGATCGGCACCTGCTTACTGGGAACTGCAAAAAAACAAGCTGATGGCGATGGTGCGTCAATTTGGCGCGCCAACGTTCTTCGTCACGATCAGCGCCGCCGAATCCCTTTGGCCAGAACTACTGGTCATACTTAGCCAAGTGGTGGACCGCAAACACTTGAGCGAAACGGAAGCGCTGAACTTGAAATCAGAAGACAAATGTCGACTGATCCGAACCGATCCTATCACTTGTGCTCGGTATTTCGACAACAGGTAACTTAATCAGTCATTCAAATTACGTAGTTTATTAATGTACATTTTTATCTTTTAGGTTCCACCTACTCCTGAACCAATTAAAATCCCAGTTCAGCGTTTTCAAACAACATCCGATGATCCACTACTACTACCGAGTGGAGTTCCAACAGCGAGGCAGTCCGCACGTACACATGTTGTGCTGGCACGAAAACGCGCCGTCGGTCGAGCCGGGATCTACCGACGAAGAAAAAAAGATCGTGTGCGATTTTATCGACCAATACGTAACTTGCGACAGCGAACTGCCCGAAGTAGTAGATTTAATGCCTTTACAGAAGCACAGACACAACAAGTCGTGCAAAAAAGAATTTAAAGGCAAAACACTGTGCAGATTCAACTTTCCGTGTTTACCGATGGACGAAACCACCATCATCTATCCACATTCACCGTTGAACATTACGGCTGATTCGTGGAGAGCGGCAACTGACGCAGTGGAAAAGTGCAAAGAATTCCTGAGCACAAACAAGGAGGATCTGGATGACCTGACGTTTCAAGGATTCCTCGAAAAAATGGGATTAACCAAAGTATCCTACCTGGAATCCTTAAGAACCGTCACCAAAAAGGCGACTACAATGTTAAAACGAAGACCGAAAGATGCCTTTGTCAACAACTTCAACAAGGACATCTTGGCTTTGCAGCGCTCCAACATGGACATCCAATACATTTTGGATGCGTACGCCTGCCTAACATACATAGTCGCCTACATGAACAAGTCCAACAGAGGCGTGTCAAAAATCCTCGCCCAGGCCATGAACGAAGTTAAAAACAACAATGTGGAGACAATAGAACAGTTCAGGCTACTCGGAAAAACATTTCTCAACGCATCCGAGGTAAATATAATTTTTTATGTGATTTTATAATATTTATCTCATTATAAAAAATACTATGCTCATTATTTTTGTTTGTCGATTTAACTTAAGGAGTACTTTTTGTTTAAACAATTAAAGTAATGCAATTTTAATTTAGAAATAAAATACATTCAAAAAATTATTATTTGAGAGGTAAACTAAAAATGTTCCAAAGAACATACACATTGTCACTTTTTGAAATACAGGGTGATAATAAACTTTTGATATTTTCGTTAATTTGTTTCAAGATATTAAATTATTTAAATTTGGAATGCATTTATATTTAAACGTATTGTTTAAGTAATTTTTTTTAATATTATAAAGTGCATATTAAAAACAAAAATACTTTAAATGATGTATTCCTTTAGATATAATTACATACTAAATTTAAATAAATTGTCATTGTAATTTGAAAGAAAATCCTTAAAAATATTATTAATTTAACCCAGTGTTTTGGAAAATGACTTTTCAGGAACTTTTTTACTTAAAATAATTTTTGTCCAGCTACTATAACTTGAGCCACCCTGTATATATTTACTCAGTAATTGAAAATCATTTTAACGATTAAGGTTTATTTATAAATATAATTACGAGTTGATGGTTGATGGTCTATAGCCATTTTATGCCAAAAACTCCGTACATAATTTACAGTAATTAAGTTACTATTACAAGTTACTATTATCTATTACTGTTAAACTTATTTATAAAAAATATATTAAAGTAATGAACATGTTCGCAATCTAGATAAATACCATCAATTCATAACGTAAATTTACTTTAATAATTTTAATTATTTTTTTATAAAATGTAGTAAAGATGATAATAAAATATATAAAAAAATATTCGATAATTTTGTCCATAAGTGTATTGATTTTTAAACATTTTTTTCCACGATTATAATCCTGGAATTATAATTTTAATGTTATGACGTTTAATTGACTATATTTTTTTTATAGGTTAGCGCGCAAGAGGCGGCATACGACCTTTTGCAACTACACATGTCCGAGGCTGACACAATCAACATCTACATAAACACGCAGCCGATGGACAAACGAGTTCGCATACTCAAACCCAAGCACGAACTCCTACAAATGACCAAAGATGACACGGACGTGTACAAGTTGGGAAAGATCGACCATTACGTCCAGAGGCCAGACAGCCTCGAGAACGTATGTTTGGCTCGGTTTATTGCGTATTACACCGCAAAACAAAAGGAAACCGACTTGCAACTAAAAGATAAGTCTGCTTACTTACATTTGAGAAACAAACCGTGCGTAATCAGTTTCAAATGTCCGGGTCTTTTGCAGGAACCACTCGAATACTATCGTGTTCAATTGATGCTGTACGTACCGTGGAGAGACGAGCTCAGACAGTTGATCAATATTGATCACGAAGTCGTGTACGTGGCGTACAAAGAAACCATCCTGGCAAACAGCGTCTCCAGCAGCACACACTCGAAGCTGCTATGGAGTTGGCCGAAAAAAACGCCGATCTAGGTTTCGAAGATGCGGAATTCGTACCCGACAGGGAATACGAAGTCTACTACGTCGACAAACCGGACGGCGAACCAATATTACTCAAGGGTAAAGGTGACGCTCCCCGAGCACCAAAGCCCACCAACAAAAAAGGTAAGGACGATACGTTTACTTTTCCCACTCCTTACCAGATAGAGGAGAAAGAGTTTCGCGAAATAATCGCCCAGCTCAACAACAAACAACACGAGTACCTAAACCACGTGCTCGACAACGTCATCTCCAAAAAGAAGTTCTACGAGGTGGTAGTAGGAGGAGCGGGGGTCGGTAAATCCCGACTGATCAAGGCGATCTACCAATCTCTGCTCCGCCATTTCAACTCGATTCCCGGAAACAATCCGGAAACGATAAAGATAATGCTGACGGCACCGACGGGAAAAGCCAGTTTCGCCATAAGAGGCCTCACCATCCATTCGTCGTTCGGCATCCCAGTCAACACGTCCAAAGAGGACATCTTGCCGCTCAGCCACGACAAAGCCAACACGCTCTACACACTGTTGAGCGAGCTAAAGTTGATAATCATCGACGAATTCAGCATGGTTGGTAGCACCATGCTGGCGCAGATACACACGCGTCTGCAGCAAATATTCAAAAACAACTGCGACTTTGGCGACATCCCGATCATCATGTTCGGCGACCTGAACCAACTGGCGCCGGTGGGCGACCAGTGGATTTTCCGGCCGAACAAGCGCAACCCGTACGGACTGCTGTGCGGAACCTACTTGTGGGACAAGTTTGCGTTCTACGAATTGACGGAAATAATGCGCCAGCGAGAAGACCTCGCATTCGCCGAGGCCCTTAACAACATGGCGAGTAACAAAATGTCCGTCACGGACGTTCAGCTGTTCGCCAAACGACAGGTGGACGAAAAAATGAACGTTCCCGAAAACATTATCCACCTGTTTGCTACCAACGCTGAAGTGGATCAGTACAACCACCATCGACTGTCCGAATTCGAAACGGAAAGCGCCGAGTCGGTCGCAACCGACATAATCAAAGGTAGCTGTCCGGAAAAGGTAAAGGAAGCGCTGCTTAAACGAGCACGCATTCTTAAAAAAACAGAGTGCTTCGGTCTAATGCATTCCATCAAGTTACAGGTAGAAGCGAGGTACATGATATCGATGAACATCGACACCAACGATGGCATCGTGAACGGTGCCACCGGTATCTTGAAAAAGATCGACTACGACAACGATCAAACCCCCAAACAGATCTGGATCGAGTTCATGGACGGGGACGTGGGCGTCAATTGTCGGAAAAAGGCGCGCGACCAGGTCGCGGCCGCCGGCCATCCCGACACCTGGACGCCCATCAAAAAAGCGGCACGAGTAATTCAAAGTCGCAAGGGCAACGCAGTCAACGTCGAACGCCAGCAGTTCCCTGTTTTCGTGGCCGAAGGCATCACGATTCACAAGGCACAGGGAGGCACATACCAACAAGTGGCCGTCCATCTGAAACCAGGTATGATGCGCAGCGCGCTCTACGTGGCATGCAGCCGGGCTACCACGATAAACGGCCTGTACATATTTGGTAAGTTTAAAAAACCCGTTTCGACCAAGCTCGATTCCAACGGAAACGAACTGATTAATTTGAGAGTAAACAAAAGCCTGGTCACCAAGTTTGACGAGCAATACGTTGAAGGCTCGATTCTCGTGACATATCAATCAGTTCGTTTCCTAAACAAGGAACTAACCTTGATTCGCAATAACCCTCTCTTTAAAAACGCAAACCTAGCAATCTTCGAAGACGAAGGTGCGGACGAAAACGACGTAAGTCAGTACCCCATCCTAAACGACGAATTCCGTCAACAAGTTTTTCGTTCGATTGACGATTTGTCTAATATTGTTTGCTTTTACAGAGACCCGGTGCTTAAACTCAGCACTTACGTCAGCGGGGCTGATACGCACCAACTGATCAACGTTCACCTGGGCGAAGACAATAATGCAACCAAAATTATTGTCCTGAACAAGCGACCCAACCCCACCCAGGTTTTCGAAGGAGCATTAATCGTAGATGGCGCGATGCCGACCGACGATACAGCAAAGTACCTGTTGATCGGAAAATGGCACGACACCAAAGACCGACAACAAGTCGTGGACCATTTCCCATCGCTGGAACTCGAATCGATAACGACCACTATCGACAACCACGCTGTTTGCTCCTTCGTTCATCCGCTACACGGAAGCGAATTCGTCCGAAGCGAAACGCACGCCACCGTGCACAGCAAAAACCTTGCGATATCGACACGACTATCCGATAAAGCTATCTGCCGCCCAAAGGCGGAAGAGGATAAGCTGGTAGAATCGGCAACGATGGACGTTGACGACGATCTCTGTCCATTGTCGAACGAAAGTGACGACAGACGGAGTTCGTCTGCAATGTCCATCAGTGCGGATCCTTCCGAACACGGTTCGATCGCCGACGAAAAAAAGAGCGACGATAGCGCGATGTCGATATCGTCGACAAGCATACAAAGCTCGTCGTCGTACAAAGACTACCGCGAGTCGTACGATAACAAAGGTCTCAAAAACTCGGACGGAGTTTCTTGCTACGCCAACGCAACCGTTCAGTGCCTACTTTCCCTTCAGGAATTTAGACGATGGATTATGCAGAACGCAGACGAAAATGATGCGTGCAACGCGATCGTACGCATAATGCTTTCCAAAAAGAAAAACTGTTGGGAACTGAGAACACTGTTGGGAGAACCCTTCGACCAGCAGCAACAACAAGACGTGCAAGAGTTTTTCATACAACTCCTAGGAAAGCTTGAGCTGGACATGTTCAACATCCTTAGCCTCGACGCAGATCGGAAGTGCAACGAATGCGGTCACGTGGAACACGGACCCGCAAACGAAACGAACGTTTGGTTTCTCGAATTTCCGAACGGACACGACCAAACCACCATTGCGTTCGAAGATCTGCACGGCTATCGCCTCGCACCAGACATGACATGTTCGCAATGCAACCAAACCAACGTGTCGATCAAATCGACCATCATACACGTGAATCGTTACCTGACAGTTTGCCTAAAGCGGTACCATACACACCGAAAAATCAAAACCAAAATCCAAGATTTTTGCAACTGTCTGGTAACAATCGACGAACACCGATTTCGTGTGAGAGCCATAATCAAACACTTGGGAGACGACATTAATGGCGGACATTACGTTTCCTTGGTCAAACATACCGCCGAAAGTTGGCTCTTTTGCAACGATGAGACAATCACAACGAGGACTGACTTTGACGAAACGTTAGAGAACGTGTACCTGATGATTTTGGAAAAAATCGATCACGATAATCAGTCCGTGTAAGTATATAAATATATTTACCAACGAAATACAAAAATACACTTATTAAATAATAACCTAATTTAAAAACGAAACGCATAAATGCGTAAATAACAAACACAAGGTAACAAAGTATTGTGTGTAAAATATAATAATAATTGGC